TTAATTGAATTGTTTGGGGTTTTTTGTTGTTGCTGGTGGTGTATTGACGTTTTCTCTAAATTTTAGAGATTGGTGGGAGGAACCAACATGGCAGAATAAGCAGCTATGCTACTCAGACCCTCGCCAGCTGGAATCCTCAGCTTCAGAGTAAAGGTTGGAGAAGTGGATCAAACACTTACAGGGAGGAGAGGTGAAGTGGAGGGTTGGTGTGGAAGTGGAGAAGAAGGGAGACAAACTGGTGAAGGATCTGTCAGTCAAAAGTGGCCCAGTCACTTTGACCTTTTATGGACAGCATTGGAGACAACCATGGTCTGCTGGTGCAGATTTACTGTGACTGACAATGGGAAAATTGTGCTTCCCTCTCACTCTGACTCCACCCACAAACCTGTGGCTGTGAACCCCCAAGAGAAGGGGGTTGTGCTGGGGTGGTGGTGGTGGAGGAGGGTATTGACTGTGCCCTCTTGGCACCTGGATTTGAAAGGACTCTGCTCCAGATATGCAGAGCCTGAAGAGTCACCTGTTTAGGCATGAACTGAAAGTGCCTCTGTGGCTGGCCGCCTATCCGCTGGTGATCCTTTGGTCCAGACAATGCCTGAGTCTGTAGGAATTCCATTTAGGAAAAAGAGTGTTGCCATCTCATCCCTCCCCCAACCACCTTGGGAACTGCTTAATAAACCGAGTTTGCTTCTCTCTGGATCTAGCACCTACTCTGGAGTTGTTTTTTCTCCTTTTAGGGTTTGTCTTTATCTATTCTTTCCTCTCTTTTATCTGCTCTCTCCCTTTCCTTCCTTTGCTTTAGTTTATCCTCTCTCCTTCTGTTTTCCCACCTCTTCTTCTTTCTCTTTTATTTTTCTCAATCTTTCTTTTCTGCTCTCCCATTTCCCTTCCATCTTCCTTCTCCCAGATTTTATCTAGTATTATTTACAATAGTAAAAAGATGGAGACAGCTTAGTTGCCCATCAGCAGAGGAATGGTTGGCATATACACAAAATGGGATATTATACAACATTGAAGGATGATGATGCTTATCTTCTACCACATAACATGAAAGAACCTGCATGACATTATACTGGGTGAAATTAGTCAGTCACAAAAAGACAAATATTGTATGAAGTCACTATTGTAAAAAGTCAAGAAAAGGTTTTCATACTATCATGGTTACTAAGAATGGAAGGGAAGGAGAATTATTCGCAGGGTAGAATATGTTTTTGTTGTTAAGTGTCGTCGAGTGGGTGCCAACTCATAGCAAGCCAGTATAGGGTTTCCAAGGAGTGGCTGGTGAATTTGAACTGCCTACCTGGTGGTTCACACTGACCTTACAGTCCTGCGTTTACCCAACAGGGCCACGCCTGATACATGCTAACTTGGATTACGTGGAAGGCAGTTAAAAATAAAATGCAGGAAAAAAAATTTTTTTTTTCTGTCCCCACAAAATTTATTTTCTACAGATTAGTTTCTGTCCAGCGTGTTGTTGCCAAAAAGTTTTCCTCGTCTGTAGGTTCTATTTTAGTGTTGAAACCTTATTTTATAGATATATAAAAACCTGAGGATAGTCAGAATTTGTAGTAAATTCTGTGTATTTTATAAACTCACAGCCAGAAATTAAAATGGAGTCTGCTAATTCTAAATTTCAAGCAGTGCTCCCCAAACGTGGTCACTGATGAAACTGCTTCCCAAGTTAAGAAAACTATTGTAGAGTCTTCTTGGCTGGATTTAAGAACTCTGTCTAGCAAGCAGAAATGGTCAATAGTATGCCACGCACTATGGGTGTGGACCAAGGAAGTGGTATTCTGCTTCACAGGCAAGGAAACTGAGGATCCGAAGGAGATGGGATTTGACCAAAGTCACAGACAGGAAATGGCAGTGCTGGGGTTCTAAAACAGACTACCAAAGAACGGGCTCAGGATGGGCAGGTAATCCTGTTACAGGTCAGAGAAGCAGTCATCATCAGGTGTGGTGGATGTCTGGCAGCTGTACTACAAAGGCACTGAAATCTCAGAACAAGCGCCCCCAATGGCCTTGTGTGTCAGGTAGAATTCAGGGTGTGTGAGTGGTATGCGGTCTGTAAGTGTGCATGTGAAGAGGGCTGTCTCATAGTGGGAATGGTCTGCTGGAGAGTGTGAAAAGCAAGAAGACACTTATAACTGAGTAGCACCCAAGGCAGTGGTTCCATTGACAGATGACTTTCCACCCACTCCCAGCACAATTCCATGAAAGGTCAGGGTCTGGAGGACAGTTTCCTGACCTCTGGACTAAATGTGTGATAAAAACAAACTCTGTGACAAACCAATGTTGTCAGTGTGGCCTGGAACCAGCTACCTCTCCTCATCTCCTGTGACTGTGGGAGACGGCTCTGACTGATGAAGAGTAAGGCCCTGGGTGTCCTGGTCTCCAGTATTTCTTTTAGGCTTATTGCTGTAAACCACCCCAGGTATTTTCCAGATACAAGTCATCAGAAAGTAAGGGAACCAGTCAGAAGGAATCAGAAAGGGCATCAAATCCACATTCGTCCTGCTAGTTGGAGAGTTTGACAACACCTCACCATAGAACTCTGCAACCTAAATGTGAAGCTCCTGTGACAGGCACTTTCTGACCTTTCTATTAGAAATGCCATTCCTAAAGGGATGAATTGTACTTCACAGAAGCATTGTTCCACCCTTCTAGATCGGCCCATTGACCACTAGAACCAGGGTGATCCGGGGGGCACTCAGGCTGTCCCTATCTAAATCACTGGGGAGTGTGGAGAAAGTAACTGTATTGTGTGGAGGAAACGGCAAAGTTGAGTGATTGCTCAAATCTCATGAAGCCAAGTGTAGGATACTCAAGATGTTAAAACTCAAGTTCAGTAAAATGTTTTTAATGAGATGGGTACTCTTGTGTGTGTACCGGTAGAGATGTGCACACATCTTCAAATTTGTTTATTCAGGGGGATTTAAACATAGTTCCTACATTATAAATTTAACCAATATTTATGCATAACCTACTATATTCTGTTTTTTTTAAGGAGAGGCTACAGACTAGGAAACCTAGCATAGAGAATTCTGTACACAGAGAGCTTTAATTCTAAAGGGCAGAGGTGAAAAATAAATCAGTACAAAAGTAAATAGCCAGAATATAATGTCATGTTCTCTTACTATTGATTTACTATATCCTGCTATGGCACTGCAGGATCATGCACTGGACCACAAGGTTGGTTTGAACTATGAGGTCGGCAGTTCAAACTCACCAGCTGCTCCTTGAAACCATATACAGGGTCACTATGAGCAGGAACCTACTGCACAGCACTTAACACAACAAGAAGTGTATCATGTAGAGACAGAAAATAGAGCAAACTAAGATTATAGGAAGTGACTAGGTGGGACTATTTTAGATAAAATCATCAAGACAGGCTTCTTGGAGACAAGTGTATTTGAGTACAAATAAAGAACCAGTCTGTGATGTGCTGAGAGACAATTCAGGAGAGAACGTCAAGTGTAGATCCTGAGGCAGGAGTAGGTCCTAAAGACAGTAAGGGGTCTGCTGTGCCTTAATGGATGTGTGTGTGCATAGTAGATGTACATGAGTTTGTATATATCTGTATGTATGTCTACTGGAAACAAGGGTATCAACATAGCCAACTATATCAACCTATTTGTTATGACTTAACAATAAGAAATGTCAAATAGAATGGCATTTTAAAGTAAGAATTGTACTCTGATAAAAGCAGACAGTGGTCAAGCATTGTACAGTAGATTCCTGGGAAATTCTCTCAAAAAATGTTTAGTGCAGCCCTAAGGGTTATTTATTAATCTAGGGGTTGAAGGTCAGGTCAGCACTGCCCTGTTCACTAGGCTGAGTGGCCATACAGTGCTGAGTCTCGTCTCCTCCCTCCCTCTGCAGCATCTACTACATCCCCAGACTGGAGGGCCAGCTTCCTTATCACTGCATCTCTGCTCTGTAGAAGCCCTAGTAAGTCATATGTGGTGCTTGGATCTGGGGTTCCAGAAAGAGTTTGGCAAGTTGACTTGGCCCTGGAGGCTTAAAGGAGATTTATTGAGGATGAAGGAAGGGGGATAGCAGGCAAAAGCCAGGCTGGGTACCTTTCTGTGTTTGTGCTGGGATGCTTGTGACCTCCCTAGATGTACCTAATGACTTGCAAATGAAACTGTACCTTTGTTTTCAAAGGGAACCTTGAAAGGGTAGTCAAATAAGGAAGGGCAACCGATGTTCCCAGGGGGGAGAGAGTTGGAAGAGAACTTTGAAGGACAGGTGGAATATTGAGAGGGAAATTAGAAGAGGATTCAAGTCTGTGAATCACAGAAAACAGGAAATTCCTAATGGGAACAGAATTATCTGACACTCTGCCAGAGGAGAGGTAATGAGAAATTGCTGGAGAAAATGCTTTGAAAGCAAGCCTCTCTAGCCATGGAAAATACAGTTATCAAGAGGAAGGAAACTCAAGTAGATGGCTTGATCTGAGGCCTGGGTCTGGACTCTTCCTTTCTGAAGACCAGTCTACAGTTTAATGCCTTTCACGGAGTAAATGATTAATTGACTGGCTTGGAGGGGAGTGACGTATCAATATGCTAAGTAGGTTCAAGTGGCAGATGGGCCCAGAAAGGAGAGGTCTCCAACAGACCCCCTCCATTCACCTCCACTCCTCAAGCCAGCAGCCCTGAGTGAGGTGACACTGTGTAAGCGTCTTTGTTCTAATGAACACAGGAAGCTACCATCCGTCTTCCAGCAGTAACACCAGAGGTTGGGCACCCTTTGTTCCTACCTCTCTACTGGATTACCCTGCATGTTGTTGTGTCTACCTTTGTTAAAGTATTCCTAACACAATGACACAGGAATTCTTTCTTTACTACCTCCCTAGTCTGGAGGTCAGGGATGGATCAACTGTCTCTACATCTCTGTCCAGTGCAGGTCATAGAACAAAAAGCATGTTTGGTAAATATGGGTTGATGAATTGTACTAGATGAGATCATCTTCCTTGATTGCCTCATACCAAGGTGAAGACCATGTTCCTGTTGTCTTCGTTTCCTCTCCTTCTCCTGAGTGTGGTAACAGCATCTTGTTCAGAAAAAGGAATCTGTGAAGAAGCCTCAAAGACCTGCCATGTGGTGACCTGTGCTTCTCCAGGCATGAATGGTCTCCCAGGCCCCAAGGGAGAAAAGGGAGAAACAGGTACAGACAGACTGCTCAGTCCAGTTAACTCTACCTCCCCAAAGAAACTTCCTGGAGATGTGAGAATGTTCTATTTACAATATTGTACATAGGCAGATTATATTTCTCTCAATTATTCTCATACATTAAATTCAAAATAGAGATATGACTCAAACCCTCTAGTATCTCAGGTTTCCACACAACAGTTGGTGATACGGGGTTGTTTGGCCTGCTCAGGGAGCTACACTTCAGGACAGGACACAGTATGGGACACAGACGATTTTCTTCTGTGGGTCACCTATGAGGTTAAGTGCTGTTGAGTCAGTTTTGACTCCTAGAGACCCTGTGTTAGTGAGTCCTGGTGTGGTGCTATGGGTTAATATGCTGCAAACTTCAAGGTCAGTTTGAACTGCAAGGTCAGCAGTTCAAACTTACTAGCCACTACTTGGAAACCTTATACAGGGTTTATTTGAGTTGGAACTGACTCGACAGCACATAAAAAGACAACAACCTAGGGTTTCCAAGGAGCAGCTGGTGGGTTTGAGTTGCTGATATTGTGGTTCTCAGTCAAGTGCTGAACCCTCAGTACCACAGCAGTGATCATAAAGGTGGGCCCTGGGTCAATGCCTTCTCTTTCCTGAAAAGTGTTTGAACATCAAACATTTGGAAAAGAGAGCAAGAACACAGAGAGAGAGTATTGTTTATTTTATTTTCCAACAGGCCAAGGGCTCAGAGGTTTGCAAGGTCCTCCAGGAAAATTGGGACCTGCTGGAAACCCAGGGCCTCCTGGGCTGCCAGGAATAAAAGGTACAAAAGGAGATCCTGGTCACAGTTCAGGTAAGCAACTCACTCCACATCTGGGCTAAGGAGACTCAAGGTCCTGGAACCTTGAGCACCAGGTAAGAAGTACTCATTCTCCTGCTGCCTCATTGGAAGCTATCTCACCTTGCTTCATGACTGAGTGACTTTAGCAATCTCAAGCTATTGCCTTAATAAAGACTTTAGAAAACCTCCAGGGACATGGGGAGGCACTGGAACCTGTCCCTCTTTCAGTTTAAATAGTCCGTTGTGAGGCTCTAGTTTAAGAGCTAGTAAACAATCTCAGAGTAGGGCTTCTGGGTTGTTGTTGTTGTTGTTAGGTGCCATCAAGTTGCTTCCAACTCATAGTGCCCATTAGGTACAACAGAACAAAACACTGCCCATCCTCACAGTCATTGTTACATTTGTACCCATGGCTGCTGCTACTGTGCCAGTAAATCTTGTTGGGGGTCTTCCTCTTTTTTGCTGATCTTCCACTTTACTAAGCATGATGCCCTTCTCCAGGCACTGGTTCCTCCTGATAATATGTCCCAAATAGGAGAGAGAATGTCTGGCCATCCTGACTTCTAAGGAGCATTCTGGTTGTACTTCTTCCAACACAGATTTATTTGTTCTTCTGGAAGTCCATGGTACTTTTAATATTCTTCTCCAACATCATGACTCAAGTGCATCAGTTCCTCTGTGGTCTTATTCATTGTACAATTTTCACATGCATATGAGGTTATTAAGAATAGTATGGTATGGGTCAGGCATAACTTAGTCTTCAAACTGACATCTTTACCCTGAACATATTAAAGAGTTCTTGGGCAATAGATTTGCCCAATGTTCTTCATTATTTGGTTTCCTGACTGCTGCTTTGATGAGTGTTGATAGTGAATCCAAGGAAATGAGGTCCTCAACAATTTAAAGTTTTTCTCCATTTATATGGATGCTATTGATTGGTCCAGTGGTAAGGATTTTAGTTTTCTTTACATTGAGGTACAACCCATACGAAGACTGTGGTCTTTGATTTTCATCAGTATTTCAAGTCCTCTTCACTTTCATCAAGCAAGGTTGTATCATCTGCATGTGGCAGCTTGCTAATGAGTCTTACTCCAATCCTGATGCCACATTCTTCTTCATATAATCCACCTTCTGAGATTATTTGCTCAACATACAGATTGAATAAGTGTGGTGAAAGAATACAACCCTGGTGCACATGCTTTCTGATTTTAAACCATTCAGTGTCCCCTTGTTTTATTTGAATGACTGCCTCTTGTTCTATGAACAGGTTCCTTATGAGCACAGTTTAAGTGTTCCAGAATACTCACTGTCCTCAATGATGTCTATAGCTTGTCATGTTTCACAGTCAAGTGACTTTGCATAGTCAATAAAGCACAGATAGATCTTTGTGTACTCTACCTTCAGCCAAGATTCATCTGATTTCAGCAGTGATATTCCTCATTCTACTTCTTGAGGAGAATCCACCTTAAACCTCTGGCAATTCCCTGCCAATGTACTGCTTCAGCTGTTTTTTTAATTATCTTTAGCAAAATTTTACTTGCATATGATTAATGATATTGTCCAATAATTTCCTCATTTTATTGGATCACCTGTCTTTGAAATGGGCACAAATATGGATTTCTTCTGATTAGTTGGCCAGGTAGCTGCCCTGCAAATTTCTTGGCAGAGATGAGTGAGTGCCTCTAGTGCTGTATCAGTTGGTTGAAAGATTTCAATTTGTGTTCCATCAATTCATGGATCCTTGGTCTTTGTCAATGCTTTTAGGGCATGTTGGACTTCTTCAATAAGTTCCATTGGCTCTTGATCATATGCTACCACTTGAAATGTTTGAAAATTGACCATTTCTTTTTGGTACAGTGACTCTGTATAGTCCTTCCATCTTCTTTTGATGATTTCTACATCATTCAATATTTTGCCCATTGTTGTTGTTAAGTGCCATAGAGTTGGTTCCAATTAATAGCGACCCTCTATAGGGTTTCCTGGAGCAGTTGGTGAGTTTTAACTACCATCCTTACAGTTTAAATTGACCTTGTGGTCCAGTGCTTCTCCTACATCATTACACTAGGCTTCTTTGATGCTTTCTGCATCATTCAATACTTTGTCCATGTTGTTGTTGTTGTTAAGTGCTGTCGAGTCAGTTCTGACTCATAGCAACCCTATCTACAGTTTGCTATGAGTGACTGGTGAGGTTGAACCACTGACTTTTTGGTTCAAACCTACCTCTCAGTCCTGTGCTCATCCTACAGTGCCACACCAACAGTCCTATTGGATCCTTCAGGATTTAATGTTGAATCTTGGGTTTTTTTGTTTTTGTTTTCTTTAGTTCCTTTACTTTGAGAAATGCTGGGCATGTCCTCCTTTTTTGGTTTTCTAAGTCCAGGTCTTTGCACATTTCATTATAATATTTGACTTTGTTTTTTCGAACTGTCCTTTGTAATTTTCTGTTGAGCTCTTTTATCTCCTCATTACTTCATTTCCTGTATCATCTCTGCTGGAGAGCAAGTATCAGAGTCTTTTCTGACATCCTTTTTTGTCTTTTCCTTCCTTCTTATCCTCTAAAAGACCTTTTGCTTTCTTTCTATATGATGTCCTTGATGGGTGAAAAAAATGGGCAAATGCTCAATTACTAACCAAACCCATCCAGAGACACTTTAGGAGAAAAATCTAGGAATCTGCTTCAAAAAGGTCATAGCCTTCAAAACCTTAGGGAGTGATTCTACTCTGCAACAACACATGGGGGTTCCATGAGTCAGAATTGATGTGACGTTGATGGTCTGGTTTTTCAGTACATTTATTATATATCAGTTATTTTTTACTGCATAGGAACCATATGCACAATGAAACAAAACATTGCCCAGTCCTATGCTGTTCTCCCACCTATGGTCGTATTTGGGCCCACTGTTGCATTCACTTGTCAATCCATTTTGTTTGGGACCTTCATTTTTCACTGAACCTCTACTTTGCCATGCATAATGCCCCTTTCCAGGATGTGATCTCCTCAAATGATGTGAGATAAAGTTTCACCACCCTCCTTTCTAAGGAATATCATGTGTTTTCCTCTTCCAATAAGTGTTTGTTCTTTTGTCAGTCCATGGTACTTTAGCATTCTTCACCAACACATGATTCAATTTCATTGATTCTTAGTTGGTCTTCCTTACTCACTGTAAAACTTTTGCATGAATATGAGCTATAGTGTGGGTCAGTCACACCAAGTCCTCAAACTGCCATCATTGCTTTTTAATACTTTAAAGAGGTCCTTGGTAGTAGATTTGCCTATTGTGATATATTTTTTGATTTTTTTGAATGATGTTTCCATGAGTGTTAATTGTGGGTACAACTAAATGAAGTCTTTGGCAGTTTCAATACTTTCTCTGTTTATCATGATGTAATTTATTGGTCCACTTGTGGGGATTTTTGTTTTCTTTACACTGAGGTGCAATCTATACTGAAGGCTATATTCTTTGATCTTCGTTAGTAAGTACTTCAAGTCCTCTTGGCTTACAGCAGGCAAGGTTGTATCATCTGCATGTCATAGGTTGTTAATGAGTCTTCCTCTCATCCTGAAAGATACCATAGTCTTCTTCATATAATCCAAATTCTTGGATTATTTCCTCAGCATACAGATTAAATAAGTATGGTGATAGAATACAACCCTGTAACACATCTTTCCTGATTTTACAGCATTCATTTTCCCTTTGTTCTTTTTGAACTACAGCCTCTTTGTCTATGTACAGGTTGCACATAAGCACAATTAAGTGTTCTTAAATTCCCATTTTTCCAGTATTATCCACAATTATTAAAATCCACAGTTGAATGTCTTTGCTTAGTCAATAACACCTATGTAAACATTGTTCTGGTATTCTCTGCTTTCAGCTAAGACCCATCCCAAATCATCAGTGATGTCCTTTGTTCCACGTCTTTTGAATTCAGCTTGAATTTTTGGCAATTCCCTGTCAATGTGCTGCTTCAACTATTTTTGAATTGTCTCCAGCAAACTTTACTTGGATGTGAAATTAATGATACTGTTAGACGATTTATGCATTCTGTTGGGTCACTTTTCTTTAGAATGGATGCAAATTTGGATTTCTTCCAATCGGTTGGCCAGGTTGCTCGCTTTCAAGTTTCTTGGCACAGATAAATGAGCACATCCAATGCTGCATCTGTTTCTTGAAATATTTAAATATGTATTACATCAATCTCCGGAGCCTTGCTTTTTGCTAATGCCCTCAGTACAGCTTGTACTTTTTTCTTTATTACCATTGGTTCTTGATCAGATGCTACCTCATAAAATAGTTGAACATCAATCAACCAATTCTTTTTGGAGCAGTGATTCTGTGTATTCCTTTCATCTTTTTTTAGATGCCTTCTTTTTGTCTTTGGGATCCTTCAGTATTGCAAGTCAAAGTCTGATTTCCCTTTCACTTTTTACAGCTTCAGAAAATCTCTTTCCTTTTGGCTTTCTGACTTCAGGGCTTTGCACATTTCATAATAGTAGTTGGCTTTGTCTTCTCAATCTGCCCTTTGTCATTTTCTATTCAGCTCTTTTACTTCCTCTTTTCTTCCATTTGCTTTAGCATCTATGCTGGAGAGCATGTTTCAGAGTCTCTTGTGACATTTCTTTTGGTCTTGTCTTCTTTTCCTGTCTTTTAAATGGTTTGTGTTTTCTTTCAGTATTCTGTTACTGACGTCATCCCACAGTTCTTCAGGTCTTCAGTTAGTAGTTTCTAATGCGTCACATCTCTTCTTGAGATGTTCTCTAATTTTAGGTCGGATATACCCAGGCTCATATTTTGGCTCTCATGGACTTATTTTTATTATCTTCAGTTGCATCCTGATGTTGCATCTAAGCAATTGATAATTGAATGTGCTAGACTGCACAGTTGCTTTGAACCACAAAGTCGGCAGTCCAAGCTCACCAGCAGATCCTTGGGAACTTTATACTCATATGGGTCAGAATAGACTCAATGGCACTTTCAACAATAGCAACATACATTTAAAATAAGGAGCTCTGGTAGCATAGTGGTTATGAGTCAGGCTGCTAACCTCAAGATCAGCAATTTGAAACTACCAGCTGCTCTGCAGGAGAAAAGATGAGGCTTTCTGCTCCCATAAAGATTTACAGACTCAGAAACCCTATGCAGGGTCGCTATGAGTCAGAACCAACTTCACAGCACACCACCACCATGTATATAAAACAGGAGTCCTGGTATGGCACTGTAGGATAAACACTGGACTGTTTGTTATCCACAAGGTGAGCATTTCAGACCCACTAGCCACTCCTTGAAAAAAAATGTATAGGGTTGCTATGAGTCAGAACCAACTTGACAGCACTTAACAACAACACTACAAATAAAACACTTAAGAAGCATTTGCAAATACACTAGAATTCTTAAACATAACAATATGATATTAATAAATTAACTACATACACATAGTATTGAGCTGAAGAGAGACTTATATGTGTTGTGATGTTACTTTATGAATCCCTGTTCTGGTATGCAAGATTATCGTTGGAAAGAGTAATTATTAACATTTAATTATGATTATCTTTTCTGTGTAAACTGTCTTAAGAACTGTTTCGTTAATGTTCCTACACACACATTCTCCAGAACCATAGCCTAATGATTATCTAATGACCAATGGTGTTTCATGTTTCTGATCACTTTATTATCCCCACTTTCTTATCCATCTTGATCATTTTCCTTTTCCATGATACAACACCAGCTCTTGCATCAGATGCATGCTTTGGAGGTATGGTTATAGGGGTAAATAAAATGAGAATTTAAGCCAAGTACCAATTTACACACACAGCATAGAGCTACTGGTAATGTGACCCTACTGAAAAACACAGGCAGCATCCACCTTGCTGTAGCAGATGAACCTCTGGAGCAACACAGTGTTTTCATGAGAGTCACAAAGCAAGTGGAACTGTTCATTATTAGGAATCATTGTGTTTAACTCACATTTTTAATACAATAGGTATTTTTGGCAGTCTGTTTTTAAGAATGAGTTGTCAATCAGAAAAATGTTTTTAACCAAGGGACTTTGTCAATGGAAAAGAAACCATGTTTTAGTTTGAAAGGCCCAGACCCCCCACTCACAGGCACAGTTTTGGGACTGTTTTTCAACAGTACTTCCTTACCCTTCTTGAATTTTCTAGATTACGATAGTTCCCTGGCTGCTTCAGAAAGAGAAGCTCTGCGATCAGAACTGCGCCGAGTGAACACGTGTAAGTCTTTTGTGACAATCTTCAGGCAGCTTTGGGTTTGGGAAGACAGTTGTTACAGAAGGACTATAGCTTTCTTGTTCATACATAGGAATTTCTCATGCTCGTTTTTCATGAAATCCTTACAACAACCTCTTTAGTAGAAATGTAGGCAAACAAAGGTCACTGAAAATGGGACCTATGACCTTTAGTCACCTGACTTCTGGACCAGACCAAACGTTCTCAGATATTTGTCTTCAGTCTTAAATTAATAATAAATTCTGAATTATATATGTTCTAAATTCTGATAAAAAGAACAAGGGCCTTTCTGACAATCTGTCTCTCCAAAGGTAATTGGTCATATTTAACATATAAAAATACAGAATATCCAGTTAAGTTTGAATTTCAAGTAAACAACAAATAATGGTTCTTAGTATAACTGTAGTTCACAGATATTTCATGGAACATGCTTTACTAAAAAAAATAATAATAATCTGAAATTCAAATTTAACTGGACATACTATTTTATCTGGCAACTCTACCCTCAAAGCCTCCGTGAAAAGAAGCACTTAGGGTGGACTTAAAAGAAAATGCAGTGTCTCCCACTTTATCACATTTTTTTCAGATTTGACTTTCTCTCTGGGCAAAAAGGTCGGGAAAAAGCTCTTCTTGTCCAGTGGTGAAATTATGACCTTTGAAAGAGGGAAGGTTCTATGTGCCCAGAATGGAGCCTCAATGGCCACCCCCCAAAATGATGCAGAGAACACAGCCATCCAGAATGTGGCCAAGGATGAGTGCTTTCTTGGTATCACTGATGAGGTAACTGAAGGCAAGTTTGTGGATCTGACTGGAAGGCCGCAGACTTACACAAGATGGAATGATGGTGAACCCAATGATACCGGCTCTAATGAGGACTGTACAATACTCCTAAAAAGTGGCAAATGGAATGATGTCACCTGCTCTTCCTCCTTCTTGGTAGTCTGTGAGTTCCCTATTTAAAGGAGCATATCCCTTGGACCCTCCTTGACATCTGCTGTACCCCACAGACTCCCAATCTGCTTAGAAAGATAAACTGATTTGCCTGTGTTTGGTGTTGTCACTCTTTTGTGGGTTTGGGGAATGGAGAATGGATTGAATGATGGGATGTGGAAGTGAGAAGGGGGAGACGCAGACAGTGGAACAATGAGAGTTCCTAATAATTGAATGGCCCTTTTGTGGTTGTTGTTAAGTGTCCTCAAGTCATTTCTGACTCATGCTGACCCTGTCTAGGGTTTCTGAGGAGTGGCTGGTGAGCTTGAACCACCAACCTTACAGTTCAAACACACCTTGCAGTCCAGTGCATTCACCCACAATACCACACCAGAACTCCAGTGACTAATAATAATCATGATTTTTGAAGATACATCAAATTATTTCAATGCTGCCAACATCCAGTTTCCTAAGTGGACTATTTTAGATGTGACAGAAATTATTTGGAGGAATTTGGCCTAGTGGAATTAGTAAAGGAAAGTCACATCATTTCCTAAAATAGGGGTGAAATCGTTGATAGAAGAAAATACATTGTCCAGTTTCAATTACACTACCAAGTTCAGAACCAAAAGGTTGCCTAGGAAATGTGTGCTATTGTGCTAATCTACCTGAGATAAAATAATGAAGTATTTCAGAGGAGAAATTCTCTAGCTGTTAGGTGCCATTGAGTTGGTTCCTATGCACAACAGAAAAAAACACTGTCCAGATCTGCACCATATTCACCATTGTGGTTATGCTTAAGCCCATAGTTGCTGCCACTGTGCTACTCCATCTTGTTGGTTTTTTTTTTTTACTTTTTCACTAACACCCACTTTTCCAAGTGTAAATGGTCTCTACATTCAGGTGAGCTATATTCAAGGTCGTATTCTGATTCGTGTGGACTTGTTTAAAAGTTCTTCAGCTTTAGCCTGAACTTGCATGTGAGCAATTGATTATCTGTTCCACAGTCTGCCATGGGCCTTGTTTTGGCTGATGATTCTGTGCGTTTCCACTGTCTTTTCTCACAGATGTAGTCAATTTGATTTCTGTGTTTCCTGTTGTGTGAAGTTCATGAGTATAATCACATTTTATATTGTTTTGTTTTGTTTTTTTAATTTGCAATGAATAAGTTGTTGGTCTTGCAAAATTGTATTGTGCAATCTCTAGCATCATTTCTATCACCAAGGCTATATTTCCCAACTACTGACCCTTTCTCTTTGTTCCCAACCTTTGCATTCCAAAACATGTTTGATCAATTCCAAGTGAAGAAGTTGGCAGAATTTTTCAATTTTCTCATCACTGACTTTAGTGGTTAGTGTATAAATCTGAATGTCAGAGGTATTAACTGGTCTTATTTGTAGGCACTTTCATACTATCATATCACAGACAGCATTGCACTTCAAGATAGATCTTGAAATGTTCTTTTTGACTATGAACACGACTCCATTCTTTTTCAATTTGTCTTTCTTGGTATAGTAAACCATATGATTCTGATTTAAAGTGGCACATTCCAGTCCATTTCAGCTCACTGATGCCTAGGATATTGATCTTTATGCATTCCATTACACTTTCAACAAGTTCCAATTTTCCTAGACTCATATGTTGTGCATTCCATGTTCTGATTATTAATGAAATTTTGCAGCCGGTTCTCTTCATTTTGAGTTGTACCCCACCAGCAAATTAAAGCTTGAAAGTTGTACTCCATTCATACCATTATAACAACTCTACTCTGAGGAGACAACTTTTCCCTAGTCATATTTTGAGTGCCTTCCAACTTGAGAGATTCATCTTTCAGCACTCTAATAATGTTCTGCAGGTATTCTTAATGGTCCATATTCTGGCACTATATCTGACAACATTCTGCTGATACTCATAAGGTTTTCAGTGGCTAACGTTCAGAAGTAGACTGCCTCACCGTCTCTCTAGTCTGTCTTAGTCAGGAAGCTCCACTGAAGTCTGTGCAGCCTGGGTGACCAGCTGGTATTTAAATACCAGTGGCACAGCTTCCAGAATCACAGCAACATGTTGTATTGTGAGGTCACAATACGACAAACTGACAGATGAGTGGATTTTGCCTGTAGAATCCATCAATATTGCAAGTTAAGGACTGGATTTTTTTCTTTTTTATGCTTTTTTTACTTCATTATTTCTTCTATTCTCTTTAGCTTCTCTACATTCAAGAGCAAGTTTTGGAGTCTCTTCTGACATCCATTTTGTTCTTTTCTGTTTTTCTTGTCTTTTTAATGACCTTTTGCTGTGTGGTAGTGAATAGGAAATTATTCCAACAAAAATTCAGGCGTCTTGCACCTCAGTGAAATTTCTAGGGGTCCCGTGGTATGCGATATGTAGATATTTATTCCTTCTAAAGTGAAGGTTTCGTTGTTAGATCTGGTGCCTCCTACAACTAAAAAGGAAGAAAAATACTTGGCAGGTTTCTTTAAATTTTAGAGACAACAAATTGCTCAATTGGGTGTGCTATTAGGGCCTATTAGTCAAATGGCTCAAAAGCTTTCTGTTTTAAGTTGGGCCTTGTAATAGATTGAATCATGTTTCCCCAAAAGACATGCCAGGCTGGCTGGGTCATGATTTTCAATGGTTTGACAGTTATGTAATGATGTGCCCCGATGATGTGATCTGATGTGATCAACTCTGCTCTGATCTAATTTTCCTATGTGTTGTAAATCCCCACTTCTAAGATGTTGGAGAGGCCGGATGTAATCTACAGGATTAGGTTTTATCTCAAGTCTGTCTATTCTGAGATATGAAACAGATTAAATAAGCAAGCAGAACCTCAGAGGGGTCTACTATCATCAAGAAAGAAGATCTGGGAATGGCATGCATCCTTTGGACCCAGGGTCCCTGAACTTGGAAGATCCTAGGTCCAGGAGAAGATTATACCAAGGCACATGGAAATCTACAAGGAATACTAGACCTACAGATGCTGAAAGGAGGTAAAGACCTTCTCCCAAGAACCAAGAAAGAGAAAACAACCCCCCTAGAATCAAGAGTTCTGGACTCTGAAGTTTTGAGAGAATACATTTCTGCTTGCTAAAGTCACTCACTTGTGGTATTTCTGTTATAACAGCACTACATAACTAAGTCATGTCCTGAACAAGAGAAGACTGCCACAGAAGACTGCTGAAATTCAAGCCATTTTATTATTTGGTCCATATAATATAAGAAGCTCTGGTAGCGTAGTGGTAACATATCAGGCTGCGAACCTTAAGGCCAGCAGTTCGAAACTACCAGCTGTTCCGCAGGAGAAAGATGAGGCGTTCTGCTCCCGTAAAGATTTACAGCCTCGGAAACCCTGTACAGGGTCGCTATGGGTCAGAGCCGACTTGACGGCACTTAACAACAGTATAATATAATGGTGCTTGAAGTGTTAGTGGCCGAGTTGCTGTTTGGAGCTCCTGTTGGGGAATAATAGCATAGATCCTTAGGATTTTGGAACAAAGTCCTGTCATACTCTTCAGATAACTATTTTTCTTTGAGAAACAGCTTGTGGCATTTTACTGAACCTTAGTAGAGACTGAACATTTAAACACAAACTACCAAGTCATCATGTGGCCTTAGCTACCCATCATGAGCTCAGTACTGTTTAACTCACAGAGTCAGAAAATTGGATTGTGAAACAGAAATCCATCATTAAATGTAAGCGGTATATACAAAATTGAAGAAATGACTGAAATGCCCATAGTCCCACTCCTGTAACATTTGTTCGCTGTACCAGCATGTACCTACATAGCCTCATAGTGTGTTCTTTCTGCTCAGTTGAATGTGGACAGTGGTGAAGGGAAATCCTACCAATAAAAAACTTCAAGAAGTGAATCTAGTTGTTCACTTTGCTCAGATGGAGAAATAAGCAAATGTGTAACTGTATACTGATTCATGAGCTGTTCATGGTTCATCTGGATGGTCAGGGACTTCGAAGAAACATGGTTGGAAAATTGGTTACAAGGAGGCATGGGGAAAAGGTTTGTGGATAGACTTCTCCAGTGGCTCAAAGAAGTTAAGATATTTGTGTCTCATATGAATGCACACCAATTAGTGGACTAAATCAGAGAAGGATTTTAACAATCAAGTGGATAGGATTAAACATTCAATGTAAACCAGTCATCCTCTTTCTTCCCCAGCTGCTACTGTGACTGGCCAATGGGCACAAAAACCAAGTGATCATTGTAGCAGGCATAGAAGTTATGCCTGGATTCAGCTACATGGACTTCCATTCACCAAGGCTTACTTGGCTACAGTCACTGTTGAGTGCCCTATATGCCAGCCACAGACATCAACACTTAATTCCTGATATAGATTTCTCATGTGGCAGTGTAGGATAAGCACTGGACTACTAACCACAAGGTCAGCAGTTCAAACCTACCAGTTGCTCCTCAGAAACCCTATATAGGGTCACTATGATTTGAAACCCACTCGGTGGTACTTAACAATGACAACAACATGGCACCATCCCTCAGGATCATCAGCCAGCAACCTGGTGGTAGGTTGATTACATTGGACGACTTTCATTATGAAAAGGGCATTGTTTTGTTCTTACTAGGCTAGACACTTACTCTGTATATCATTTTTCCTTCTCTACACACAATGATTCAGCCAAAACTATGGACTCAGAATACCTTGCCTACTTCATAGTAGCCTACACAACATTGCCTTGGATCAAGGAATATATTTCACAGCAAATGCAGTGTGACAATGTACCCATCCTCCTGATTAGATAACATGATGAAATGTCCTTCTAAAGACACAAATATGATGCCAGCTGGATGGTAGTGCTTTGCATTGTTTGGGGGGATATTATCCAGGAGACTCTAAACCAGGTTTCAATGTGTTTCTCCAATAGCTAGAATTCATAAAACCAGTAATCAAAGGGTAGAAATGGGGTGGCACCACTTGCTATTATGCCTAGTGACCCGTCAAAAAGCTTTTGTTCTCGTTTCCTGTGATCCTATGTTTTGTTGCTGTAGAGATATTGGCTC